ATGAAGACTGTGGGCTCCTGTCCTCTCCTCTAGGGTGACCTGGAGATTGGTTACTCCCATTCTCCCCCCTTCTCCCACGAGTCCCCCAGTTTCCATAGTAACAGGTCGTGTCCCCAGGTCACTGTGGAGAACAGCTCCACCCCTCCAGTTTCAGGGGACACCACCCTTGTCTGTCACTGTTAAGACAGATTGACACGCCCCAGCTGGCTCGCATTACTGGCAGCCGTGGCCCATCCCTTAGGTATCTGAGGGAGCAAATTCGTCTTCACCTGACGGTCCCTTTCCTGGCTGTCGCCTAAGAGACCATCTCCCAGGCCCAGAGACCCATAAAATCTATGTCATTCACTACAGAGAGAAGCTGCCCCACTTCCCATTGTTACCAAGGCGACCAGCCCAGTTTCTACCTGTCACCTAGAGTCACACAGCCCTTCCTTCATCAGTCACACCCATGGAGTTAGTACCTCCCTCCTCCAGCTGTAACCATGGACACCGCACGTTTACTATCTCACCCACATTCACCCCTGAGACCTACAACTTCACTCCCACTGTCCTCACCCTGACCAACAGCCATGGAGACCACCCCCTCCCCTAACTGTCCTGAGAGTGACCCAACATTCGGTTCTCCAGCTCTCACCATGGAAACAGGCTGCTCCTTTCCGCGGGGTGCCCCAGCTCCTTGCTACCCTCCAAGCTCCGCCCCAAAGCGGCTTGGACCCACCCCCCGCCCCCGGCAGCTGTTGCCATGGAGACCACACTCCGGTGTCCGAGGTAACAGAACACCTGTCCCCCTAGGCTTTCCCTTGTCGGTAGGGCCCGCCCCTCCAAACTGTCACCATAGAGACTGTCAACGTCGTCCCCAGGACAACTGACTTCCCAGTTCTCAGGAACTTCTTACCATGGGCCCGAACTGTGTGCCCCATAGGGCTTAATGGCTGCCCCTTCACCAGATGGGCCCAGCTCCAGGCAGCATCTCAGACCCAGGTGGACTTCTGGAGCTGCTGGATATCCTCCGTTTGCACGCTAACTATATCCCAGACAACAGCTGTTCACGAGACACCCTTGCAGCACCCAGATGAACAAACTGAGGCTCTGGCGTGCCCCTACCCTTTGTGCTATGCAAGCAGTAGGCTCCCGCTTCCTCTCTGAGACCACATCCCCATTCTCACTGAGTTCCTCTCTCCTTTTCTAACCTCCCTCCCCCCACATTTTCCTTCTTAGAGGTCCAGGAGAGGTTGAATTGTCTTTAAACCTCAAAATCCTCTCTGAGCTCCATGTTCTAAAGGGTAATTTGTGCTAAGAAGTCAGGACCCAAACTCCCCAGTGTTAACAGCTAGCTCAGGGAGACTGTCCATGAACAAGACCACCCCAGCTTTTGGAGACCCCAGTTTCGAGGTCTTGCCTGGAGTGGCACTGGGGTCCCTCCTGGAGCCCTCCATATTGTCACATCCATCTCCAGGAAACCCATCTGTGGGTTTTGGAACCAGGTGTGCCTGGGTTCGAATCCTGCCTCTATGACCAAGTGACAAAACCCCGGATCCTATTTCCTCCTCTGTATCAAGGCTGTTCTAAGATCCCAGTGAGTGCGAAGTGTACAGCAGGGGCTCAATAAATTTTTTTTTTTTTTGATGAATGAGAAAATGAGACAGCGCGTGGGTAGTTACTTCAAAAATGCACTTTGGTGGACAAAATGTTTTTCAGCTGGGGGTGCTTGGTGATGATTCAGTTGGGAAGCGTCTCCTCATTCCTCAGGACCATTCCCTGTCCCCAATCTCTCTCCCCTCCCTTCCCCCCGCATCGTCGTTCCCTCACTCTGTCTCTCGAGCCACCTCCCATGGGTCTGGCCCTTCTCAGCCCTGTCCTAATTGGGTCACTAACCAATCCAGCGATTCCTCTCAGTCCCCTGGGAATGAAGTGTGTGAAACTGGGTGTTGAGTTCCTGCATCAGGAAGGCAGAGAAGTTGCAAATTTTCCCTGGGGTGGGTGTGGAGGTGGGGGTAGGGAGAGTGTGGGCCGAGGGGTATTGAAAGTTTCGTTTCGGGCATACAAAGAAAGGGAGAAGAGGAAAAAAGTGTAAATGTCTGATATGGTTGTAGAAGTGGGGTGGTCGTTAACTGCTCATGCTTCAATGTCAGATGGGACAGAACTCCTAGAGATTCCAACCACTCATCTGAAGCCAGGGTCCAGTCCCTTGGTTAGACTGCCTTGGGCTCCAGCTGTGCCTTAGCTTCCTTGACTAGAGGAATGGCAGGGGCATTTTTCTGGAGATGAGTGCATGAGATTTCTTTCATCCCGCCTTTTCCCTGCTGACATCCTTTCTCCCTTCCATGGGTTCCAGCATCCTGATTTTGCCTCGGGTATGTAAGTTTCCCTCCTCTTATTCTGTGAGTCAGAGGGGCTGACTCCACTGGGCAATGAGGGCTGTGGCTCATCTTCCTGGGCAACCCTAATTGGTCCAGGGGTGGACATGGACCCAGGCAGACCAATGAGACTGCCTGGGATTTTGACGGACCAATAGGACCAAGGGAACCCTCTTTCTGCTGGGTCTCTGCACTGTTGGATTGCAGGTCTTTGAGGGTCCACCTGGAGGAGACCTAAGGATGGCAACCAGGGTAGAGCCACTCCTGAAGCTAGTTATTCAGAAAAATGTCTCACTCCTGTCTTCCAGCACCCAGTGCACTTCTCAGAGACATCTAAAATTTCTTACATGTCCTTCAAAAGATGTTTTATATTCATTCAATCAAACATGCGTATGTTGTTTTCCCCCCACTTCTACACAAATGAAAATATGCAACATATATTTTTTATGTTGTAAAACTTCACATAATATGAAATTCACCATTGTAAACATTTCAAAGTCTTCAATTTAGTGGCATTTAGTACATTCCCAGTGTTGTTCAACCATCACCCCTATCATTTTCATCACCCCAAAGAAAATCTCATACTCATTAAGCAATCACTCTCCATTCCTCCCTCCCCACTCCACGCCCTGAAAACTGTTCATCTACTTCCCATCTCTGTGGATTTGCCTCGTCTTGACATTTTGTATAAGTGGAATCCTACAGTATATGTCCTTTTGTGTCTAGCTTCTTTCACTCAGTATAATATTTATGGCTGAATAATGTTCATATATATGTATATATATATCACATTTTCTTTATTCTTTTATCAGTTAATGGACATTTGGGTTGTTTCCACCTTTTGGCTATTGTGAATAATGCTGCTATGAACATTTTGTGTGCCATATATACTTTATTTTATAAATTTATTTATTTATTTTTGGCTGCATTGGGTCTTCGTTGCTGCGCTCGGGCTTTTCTCTAGTTGTGGTGAGCGGGGGCTACTCTTGTTGCGGTGCGCGGGCTTCTCATTGCGGTGGCTTCTCTTGTTGGGAAGCGTGGGCTGTAGGTGCACGGGCTTCAGCAGTTGTGGCTTGCGGTCTCTAGAGCGCAGGCTCAGTAGTTGTGGCGCACAGGCTTAGTTGCTCCGTGGCATGCGAGATCTTCCCGGACCAGGGCTCGAACCCGTGTCTCCTGCATTGGCAGGTGGATTCTCAACCACTGCGCCACCAGGGAAGCCCTCATATACACTTTTGAAGTAACTCTTATTTAACAATATATTTGGGGACTGGTTTTCTTCAGCATGTAAAAATCCAGGCTCAGCGGCCATGGCTTACGGGCCCAGCTGCTCCACGGCATGTGGGATCCTCCCGGACCGGGGCACAAACCCGTGTCCCCTGCATCGGCAGGCGGACTCTCAACCACTGCGCTACCAGGGAAGCCCAACCAGCATTCTTTTGAAGTTTGGCAAAGTAGTCCCTGTTTGGATGCACCATAATCTTTGTAATCAATCTCCTAATGGTGGACATTTACATTGTTTCCCATATTTTGCTGTTAGTAATAAGTACCATGGTCATCACATAAGTGCAAGTATAACTGGAGGATGATAGCAGGAATTGTTTGATCAAGGGGTCAAAACTTGCCGTTTTGTTAGTGATCTCCAACTCTTCTTAGAGGTGAGGCCAATTTATAGCCCATCAGTAACAGATGTACCTACCTATTTCCATATGTCCTCAGTAGCATCATGTGTTATCACTTGTTACCTTAGCCAACCTGATAGGTGAAAAATAATATCTCATTGTGGTTGTCACTTGCAATTCACCTGTTATATGAAGCTGACTATCCTCCACTTTGACTTTAGATGCAGGAAGTTGAGTAAATCATAAATCATTCTCAGTTCAGGTACATTGTCATCATTGAAATATGCAAGGCCCCTCTCCTGTGAGATTTATTCGTTTATTTCCTTTTATTTATATGTCCTTATTTGTGTATCTTGGTGATCTGAAAATTGTGTATTATTTTGTTGAGCATATGTTGTAGTTTAAGAGCCATCTGTATTTCCTTTTCTTTGAGCTTTTCGTTCATATCCTGTGCCCATTTGGCTATTGGATTATTGGGGTTTTTCGTATTGATTTGTAGGAGCTCTTTATATATTAAGGCAAAATTCCTTTATCTCTGATTTGAAGAATTGTTTCCAAGCTTGGTATTCACCTTTTGTCCTTGTTTATGTTGTTTGTTGCCACTATTGCTTTAGAATAAAACCCAAACTTCTCATTACAGCCCATATTGCCCTGAGTGATCCATCCTCTGTCTCTCTGACCTCATCTCCCTCCACTGTCTACCTCTGTCACTCCGCTCCAGCCGCTATGGACTCTTTGCTGTTTCTCAAATGAACCATGTTCCCTTCTGCAAGAAGATTTTCACTTTTACTCTTCCCTCTGCCTGAAACTCTCTTCCTTTCTTCCCTTCTTTGTCTAGTTAATGCTATTCATCCTTTAGATTCCATTCACCTCCTCTAAGAAGCCTCCCCTGACCACCTCCCAGGGGTCACATCTGTTCTGCCCACCACTATCTCCCCAGCACCCAGCACAGTACACGGCATATAACAGCTGTCCAGTAAGTCCTTGCTGAGTAAATGAATGAAGGAAGGTGTCAGGAGGCAGGTTGAACTGTTAAAAAATTTTATTAAAATGTCCAAGGAGTACATTAATGTCCATAGTGTCAGATACCACAGACCCACGGAACACTGCAGCTGACAGCATAACCAACAGAATCCAAAGCTGTTCACGCGCACACACACTCACACGCATGCCACACACGCGGCACACTCAAACACACACGCACATCTCAAAGGGAAAGACCAAGAGACAAACCACCCACCTTAGAAAATATCAGAGCCCCCTCCCACCACGGAGCTGGGGTGGGGGCAGGGCGAGGGGCTGAGGTGGTCAAGGGTAAGGAGCATAAACCAAGACACCCCCAAAAAAGTTGCATCCCCAGAGCCCCCCACTCCAAACAAAGGAAAATTCTTTTGTGACATGGATGACTGAAGATGTGTTATTGTTTTTATATTTCTTAAACCAAAAGGAATTATCAAACCTAGAAGGCAAACCTATATCCCTGGGTTTTCTCAACAATAACCGTAACATGGGACAGTAGATAATGTCTATAGCAGGGGACACTAAAGACCATGGTCAAGGATGCAGGTCTAGTTTGCACTTCTCAATCTTTTCCTAAATCTTCCTGTGTGTTAGAGCATGATTATGTTTCAATTCCTTCCCCCCAAAATAGAGAGCAGGGTTAGGAGTCAGCCAGAGGCAGGACTGAATCCTTATTCCTGTCTTGCAAGCCAGTGCCTTTCTCTTATCTGAGCCTCAGTTTTGTCTTGTGTAAAATGGGAAAGTAATGGTTCCTAAGTCACTGGGCTGTTGAGAAGATTCATGGAGGCAGTGTAAGTCCTTAGCATGGTACCTACTCCATAGTTGTCAATTATGATTAGTACTTCCCAGGAGGGATATAGGCTAAGCCAACACATTTCTTTCTCTACTGAACCCTTAGATGGACTGTATATTTGCTTATTTTTCTTTCCTGCAGAGGGCCATTCTCCACTGTGGTTTTTAACACTAATCCACAGATGTTACCCAGACTAGAGAGGCTGAGAGTGGACAAAGGACACGGAGGAAAAGCTGTGGCTCTTTCCTGCCAGAGATCAGGAAGCTGAATCCCGACTTCCGGCTTGGGGCAAGTTTTTACAGGTTTCAGATTCTGGGGAGGAAGGCAAGGTGAGTTCTTTACTGCTTAAAAAATTAAAAAACTAAGAGAAAAATGTGTGTGTGTGTGTGTTTCAGTTTTAACACTGCACATCTCTCTACATGACCGTAGGTAGATGTCACTACTTCAAGTTTTAAGCATTTCTAGTCCACCAGGCGATGAATGGAGGAGACAGGAATAGAGTAGGGGTAGGGGTGGGACCCATGGCAGGGGCACTACCAATGTCTGCTTGAGGGATGGATATGGGCAACGAGCTAGAAAACTTGGCACCTCCTTGGCCCAGGAAGGAGGTTCTTTGTCTCCCTGAGAGATGGAGGGGGAAGAAATCTGGGTTCGTTGAGCCCTAAACATCCTCTCATCTGTGTGTGTGTGTGTGTGTGTGTGTATAAAATTCACCACACATGCAGAACCACCAAATCTCAGCACTGGACTAGACCTGAGAGGGCAAGCAATACAGCTTCCCCTCATTGCCCACAAATTCCTCTGACTATTCTGACCCCTAACTCTGAGGGCACGGAGGGACGTTGTTCTAAAAACATTCCTAAAATTCAATACATAGGAATTCCACACTCAGTTCATCCACCAAGACTGAGGACTGACTTAGGCTGAAGTCCAAGGTGAAGGAAGAGCTGTCATCAAGTTCAAGCCGTGTGCGTCCATGTAATTTTCTACTCCCAAAGCCAGTGACCTTCACTATAGGCTTCAGCCTGCATTTAGGACATCCGACAGTTTACTAAATCTGAACCTCTGGTGGTAAAAGCAATTCCTTAGTGCGAATCCAAACACACATTCTTGCACCCTTATCACAGCCTTATTTCCACAACTGGCAGTCAGCCTTGCCAACAAAAGACTAAACCAGTGCAAAGAATAATCTTTGCTGATTGTGCTTCCCTCCTCTGAGAGATGCGCCCAGAGTTCAGCCTGACTAGAACTGACTTTTCAGACACATGGCTACACCTGCCAAGAGGACCTTGTATATGTAAGAAAAAGGAGAGAGGAGCTTTTTACAAATGGTTATGTATGGGGGGATGCAGTTTGGGACTCAGGGGCTTCCGGACCCTCTTGTTTCTCTCTGGGCTCTGCCTCCCCAGGTGAAGGCTCCAGGGGAGGTGTGGGAAGGGGATTGTGCTTTCTTTTGCCTGGTTCTTCAGCAGAAATTCCCTTCTTCCTTCTCCCAGTCCTCTGCTGGGTGTTTCTTGTGTTTTCTGCGCTCCTTGCGCGATTTGTGGTGGTGATGCTGGTGGTGGTGTTGGTGGTGGTGATGGTGTCGCCGCATCCGATGGGATCGTCTGGCTGCGGGGAAGTGAGGGACGACAGGGACGTGGCAAAAGCTGATGAGAGGTGGGTGGCCTGATGGAACAGGCTTCCTCGGGGGAGGGGGAAATGGAGGGAACACCAGGCAAGCTAGTAAGTTCTCACTTATCTGCAAGGCCATATTATCAGGCAGACATTCAACCAGATCAATGTGTGTAGTCATGAGATGCTTAACTGGAGACTACAAGTAGCTGGAAACTTTTGTTGGGGTGTCTGGCGGAAGCCACTTACGTTTGGTGCAGACGATTTGGGGCCGGTCCCATTTGCCATTGCTCCGGCATCGGATGATGGCCACATGGTGCTGGGCAAATCCTTCGTCGCACTGGTAGCGTACAGTGGCGTGGACATTATACTTGGCCTTGCGGGCACCGATGGGCAAGGCGTTCTCCACTGCTGGAGGGGGACCACACAGCACTGGGGACAGAGGAACCTCCAGTTAAAGAAGTGGATGGGACTGGGGCTGAACTGGTTTCATCTCTTGTTGAGATGAACCCTCAACAGGTCCCACCTTTTGCCCAGCTGTGACCTCAAAGGGCTAGAAGTGAATGTCTCCTCCACCCAAACCAGGAGATGCTGAGGGGCAGGAACCTCCTGGACACATCCCACCCCCTAATTCTTGTGCATGATGGGAATGAAGGAGATGGGAGGCAAGAATAATCTGAGCAAATGAATGGAAAAAAGGATATGAAAATTGGCAAAGAAACAGAAGCAAGAATGAAGAAAAGTATAAGAAAGGTGGACTTGAGAATATACCTATACATATATATGTTTCCTTAATATGTAAAGAGCTCTTACAAATCAATAAGACCAATGAACCGATAGAAAATTAGGCAAAGGAAATGAACTGGTAGGTCACAGGAAATCAAATACATATAAACAGCTTATCAACATATGAAGAGCTGGTTATTCTCATCCTCGAAGACGTGCAAACTATGATAACAATGAGATACTGTTTTTCAGGACTTAGATGAACAAAGAACAAAAAGTTTGGTAACACAGAGTTGGCAAGGGTGGGGGAAAAATGGGTACCCTCACATAGTTCTAAAGAGTGAAAACTGGGCTGGACTGACTCCTACATTTACAAACTTAAATAAAACAACGAACCAGTGACAGGCAGGAGGGAAGGTTGGGGGAGACGGGGTGGGAGGGAGAGTAGCAGCATACCTGTGCCCTTCTTACAGACATAGGGGAGGTTGTAGTTGCAGGGGACATCATTCCAGTGCCCACTCTCATGTGACACCATCACCACACAGTCCTCCCCCCCCGCGAAGAAATTGTCAGGCTGGTTCTCCCTCCAGTTCTCATATTGCTGTAAGAATGGGGAGCAGGGGGTGCTCAGGGGACATGCAGCCTGTCCCAGGCTCTGGCACTGGTACTGTGGGATTCCCCTGGCCAGACTACTCAAACTCTTAGGGACTCAGTGTTTCCATCTCTACAATGAGCACTGTTCTGCCTGCCCTGAGGGTGGCTGCCACTACAGTCCAAGTCAACCCTCCTCTAGCTGCGAGGCTGTGGTGCCCTCTTCCCTGGTCCTCCTGCCCCGGCTCACTCCCTGACAGTCTGTTTTCCACATGGGTCACTCATTGTTAGATAAATAGTTGAACAAAAAGGTGACCTCAGACTGGAAGTCCAGGAGAGCTTCCCTGAGGAGGCAACAGGAGAGCTGAAGGAAGACTCAAGGATAAGAACAACGCAGGCAGGGAACAGAGTTCTAAGCAGAGGGAATAGCTAATGCAAAGGCCCTGAGGCAGGACTGAGCTTGTCCTGTCTTAGGAACAGAACAGAGGCCAGGAGGGCTGGGGCTGCTTGATCCAGTTCAAGTGTAGTCAGAGAGTGGGCCGGGGCCAGTTCTCACGGCAGAGGAGAGGAGGTGGATTTCTTTTCTAATTGTGGTGAAAAAGATATAATATAAGATTTACTAAAGTGAAGTCAGAGGGCCGGGTCATTGCAGCTTACCCAGAACTCTCCATTCTAGGCAGGGCTCAAGTCAACAGTCTGACTGCAGGGACCCAGGCCCCCAGGCTGCCACCACTCACCAGCCCCGTGTTGTCCGTCCACTGGAAATCCCTCTCCACGATCCTGTCGTTTAGGCCGATCCACGTGTTTTCACGCCCAAAACCTGTGGGGTGTGGGGTGTCGTGAGGGCTGGGTACTTGCACCTCCCCCAGCCTAGGTTGCTGGCTGGAGGCCAGGTGGGGGGTGTGGGAGGGGAGACTCAGCCCCCTCCCCAGCCTGAAGGTGGGCTGAAAGGGGAAGTGGATGAAGATGAGAATGGAGGGGGGGGGTACCCAGAGCCCCTCCCCCAGTTTTGGGTTTGAGCTGGAGGGGAGGACCCCAGCCCCTCTGCCAGCCTGGGGGGCATGGGCTGGAGGCCACATCCCCCCATTTCCTAGCAGGCTGAGGCTCTGGCTGGCCTCATACTTGGGGAGTGGGGTTGGGGCAGGGAAAGGGCTGGAATTAGGCTCCTGGCCTTGTCACAATTTGTGGCTTAAACAAAAGGCCAGAGAAAACGATAAAAACAAGTCAGATCTTTGCAGAAATGAGAGAGCAGGGGCTAAGAGAGCCAGCGAGCAAGGCTGACAGGGCAGGCAGGTGAATCTAAATGAGCCAATCAGTCACTGAGGAGGAAGCAGCTGGATGCATGTGTGTTTGATTACATAGAGGAAAAAAGCCAGTGAACCAGGGAATGAACAAATTAAAGAATTAACAGGGGATGGGATGGGGAAAATGTGAATAAATAAATGGATGAAAAAGGGTAGAAGGAATAATGAGTAAATCAATAAATGCCGGATTTAATTTATGGGACACCCCTCTTTCTCTAAATCTCTGCTCCTTCCTCATTTCATCCCCCGCACCACAGATGCTTCTCCATCACCCTCTGTCCCCTGGCCCTGTTTTAACTGTCATCAGTGCCCTGAGAACCAGCTAAATTTTAGGATAGACTTATTTAATTAGATATTTACTTGTTTGACTATATCCTCGTCAAGAACGTCACTCCCTAAGGACAGGACAATGTGTGTCTCTGTGCCTGGAACAGTGCCTGGCACATAGCAGGTGCTCCGTAAATAGTCAGAGAATGAATGAAGTGAATGAATGAACTGACAAGTGAATAAATAGACACTTGAATTAATAAGTGGTCAGGGCTTGCATTAATGAACATAGTTTCAGAAAGGTAGCGTCTTCAGGACCCGGGGGGGACCCCCTGACAAAGGGACTGTAAAGGCCACCCCTGCCCACCCCAGAGTCCCTACTGTTAATGAAGCCGTGTTCTTCGGATGAGTGGATGCTGGTCAGGTGGCCGGCTCGACGGCGGCAGTCCCTCTCGGCATCCTCCCATGCCCGCCGATGGGCGAAGTAGCGGTAGCAGTGGCCCTGAAACTTGTGCCAGCCATGGTCACAGCCCTCTGTGTCTGGGAGGTGGAAAGGGAGCATGAAGGGGGCTGGCCTCAAGCCGAGGCCTGCCTTGCCAGCCGTGAGCACACCAGCCCACCAGAGAGAGGCCCCAATCCAAGGTCACTGTGGGGCGAAATCAACCCTCTCCCTGGGCCCATCCCCCAGCCCCCACTCTGTCCCCCCACCTTTTCACCTCCCTCCTCCCATATTCACTTCTTTTCTCTGTTGCAGGAAGAGATTCAACTGGAAGACCATTACACCCATTCACTCTTATTCCAACTCTAATATCTCATTCTCTGATCTGGCCACATCCTGGGACCTCAGGAAATGGTCTCAGGAAGGCCTAAAATTTCCCTCCTGGGAAAAAACACAAATAGACATTTCTCCCAAAAAGATATACAAATGGCCTACAAGCACATGAAAAGATGGTCAACAACGTGAATCTTTAGGAAAAACGAATCAGAATCACAATGGGATACCACCTCATACCCACTAGGATGGCTATAATTTTTTTTTAAAAGGAAAATAATAAGCGCTGGCAAGGATATGGAGAAATTGGAACCATCTTGCGTTGCTGGGGGGAATGTAAAATGGTGTAGCCCCTGTGGAAAACAGTCTGGCAGCTTCTCAAAAAGTTAAACACAGAATTACCATATGACCCAGCCGTTCTATTCCTGGGTACACCAAAAAGAATGGGGGGAAAATCAAAAAGAATGGAAAACAGGTATTGAAACAAAAACGTGTACATGAACATTCATAGCCGCACTATTCACATTAGCCACAAGGGGGAGACAACTCAAAGGTCCATCAAGTGATGAACGGATAAACAAAATGTGGACCATCCAATGGAATACGATTCAGCCATAAAAAGGAATGAAGCACTGACACGTCCTACAGCGTGGATGAACCCTGAAAAACATCAGGCTGAGTGAAAGAAGGCAGATACAAAAAGACACAGAGCGTATGACTACATTTATATGAAACATATAAAATAGGCAAATCCATAGAGACAGAAAGTAGATTAGTGGTTGCCAGGGGCTGGAGGGGAGGAATGGGGAGTGATGGCTAACGGGGACAGGATTTCCTTTGGGGCTGATGAAAATGTCTTGGAACTAGCTAGAGGTGGTGGTTGTACAACACTGTGAATGTACTGAATGCCACTGAATTGTACACTCTAAAAAGGTTAACTCTATGTTATGTGAATTTTATCTCAAGAAAATTATTCGCCTCCTGCCTGTCTGACTCACGGCCATGGAACCAGAGGCAGAGACCTGGAGCTCCATGTGTGGGAAGCTTGTGGTCCAGCACCCAACCCTGCTCCTGGAACTGTTTCTGGGGTCTCGGCAGAGACTCACCTTTCTCACAGAGGCTGCCCCCATAGCTGGGGAGGCAAAGGCAGACGAAGGCGTTGACCTCGTCGATGCAGGTGCCTCCATTCTCACAGGGGCTGGAGAGGCAGTCATCTATATCTGGAGGGGAAGGTGGGGCTGAGTCAGAGGTCAGCCTCCCTGTGGCTCCCAGTCCCCATGGAGAACCAGGCAGAAGATGCGTTCATGACCCTACCATCTATCCCAGACCTGAGTACAACAGCGGTGGTCTGCACTGATGGCCCAATGACTCTGGAGGTCAAGGGGGTGGAACCTCACACAACTGATGTGAATTAGCATCAATGAGAGGAGATGCCACTGGGCTGGCTGAAAGCCAGAGTGTGCAGGACGTTCCCCCTGACTCCAGAACAGTGAAGGTGGGTCTGGCAAACAGACACATAGAATGTCGAAGCTGAAGGGTCTTCAGAATGTAGAGCACTTATAAGGATTTGCACAGAATCACGAAGTTGTTTGTAGGTACAGGGAGCAATCAGTTGAGCACCTCTTCTCCCAATCCCTGTGTAGATAGTGCCTGAAGCATGTACGATGCCAGGCAAGTCACTTGCCCTCTCTGAGACTCAGTTTCTTTTTTTTTGCAAAGTGGTGATAACAATAGCACCTCCACAGCAGTGGTTGTGAGTAGAGTCAATGGAAGAGCTCAAGAAATTATATCATTTATAATTATTGTTATAATTTCATAATTTTTCATATGTCTTGTGTTGGGCTTTGGAGCTAGCTTCCAACAGTTCTGGTGGTGGTGCCTATACCCCTGCCTACCCAGGAGAGGGTAGGCGATCCCCTGGGGCCCTTTGCCGGTGGGAGTATGAGCCTTACCATCCTTTTGTCTTCCCCTTCCCCACCCCTGCCTGGTAGTAATGGGAGGCAGCACACCAGAGCCTCAGCCCTGAGGATAAAACCTCAGATGGTTGTTGCTGAGGCTGATTTACTGGAACCAAGGAGTGAGGGAGGGGAAGGGAGCATCTGAAGCCAGCATTTTGTGATCCCTGATCCTCATGGGGATGGCTGCTGGGATAGACCCCAGGGCTCTGAGTCAGACAAGTCTGTGTTCAGATCCTGAGTCTGGCGTACTCACCGATCTCACAGTTCTCTCCAGCAAAGCCCTGGTCACAGCTACAGCCATACATGGTGCCATTGGCTTTACACGTGCCCCCATGCAGGCAAGGGTTGTTCTCACAGGGATCCGAGGGAACTGCAGGATGGACAGGAGTACGGGAAGGAGTCAGACCACCAAGTCTGCCTCCCAGGGAATCCAGACCTCAGACCCCTAAAGGCCCTCTCGTTCCACCCCTCTCTGTGGAGTCCCCTCTATAACTTCCCAATAATTGATTGCCAACTTCCTCTCACATGTCCCTGTGATGAGCTTACTCTTTCCAGGAACTGGCCAAAGCACCTGTGGGATGCCCTGGCTATGGCAAAGTCCTTCCTTGGACTGAACTAGAATGGGATTCCTGCAGCTTCTCTTAGGAAGTCTTCTCATAGAACATGGTTTAAGTGCCCTCCTTGACTTATCCCCATTTTTCTAGAAATACCCAACTGGTCATTGTGCTTCTCATACTTTGGAGCAAAGAAGTGGACATAGGTTCTAGATGGGGTATGAACGGCACTGGGACCAGTGGGAATGATCACTTCCTTCGTCCTTGTGGCTCAACCTCTTCTGATGCAACCTCAGTGGTTACAGTGTGGAGAAGTGGTGGATTATAGCAGTAATAACCATAGGCTGTGCAGTCAGAGAGGCTGGTTCAATTCCTGCCTCTGCCACTCACTAGGGAACCCTGGGCAAATTACTTCTGTGAATTTCAGTTGCCTCATTTACAAAATGAAAATAAAAATAGCTCATCCTGGGCTTCTGTGGTGGCGCAGTGGTTGAGAGTCCACCTGCCGATGCAGGGGACACGGGTTCGTGCCCCGGACCGGGAAGATCCCACATGCTGTGGAGCAACTGGGCCCGTGAGCCATGGCCGCTGAGCCTCCGTGTCCAGAGCCTGTGCTCCGCAACGGGAGAGGCCACAACAGTGAGAGGCCCGCATACCGCAAAAAAAAAAAAAAAAAAAGTAGCTCATCCTGCTCTCCCAGTCCTGACCGTAATGCCATGACTGGCTCTCTGTATATCAGCCTGGGGCCTCTTGAGGGGTCTCAACATTGCTTAACACGGATCGGGTTCTCTGGAGGCAGGAGGGTCACCCCTCCCCATCTCAGGGCCTCAGAGGCCTTGGTGAGTGGTCTCTGGACCACCCTGGAGTCTTGGAGGGGCAGAGCAAGAACCCCCATGTACCCCAGATGACCCCTATCCCTTGTCAGGACAGTGTCAAGTCTTCCACTGCAAGATACCAGAAATGAGACCCAGAGGAGGGCAGGGTCTAGCTCAAAGCCACTCAGCAGGACACTACAAGAGCCAAGACTGGCCTACGGGGATCTGGAAGCCATTTAAGGCCCTCTCTCCAGGCCCTATAACGTAGAATTTGTTTCTGTTTTGTCCTGGTCTGGAGGCCCACAAGAAACTGAGATGATGACAAGCAGTCACCTCCTCCCTGATCTTCTGGACTCCGCCCTCACCCTTAACAGGTTGTTCTCCCCACAGCTGCCAGAGGGAGGCCATGTAAACCTGAGTCAGGTCATGTCCCTCCTCTGCCTAGACTCCTCCATGGCTCCCCATTGCCCTCATAGGAAAAGCCAAAATCCTTACCTCAGCCCACAGGGCCCGGTGCAATCTTCCCCAATATCTCCCTGCCTGATCCTCCTCTCCCTCCTTCACTTACTCCGCTCCAGCCACACTGACCCTGCTGTTCCTCCTACACACCAAACACGGTCCTGCCTCAGGGCCTTTGCACAAGCTATTCCGTCTGCCTGAACTGCTTTTCCCCTAGATCTCTGCATGGCTCCTCTCTCACCTCCTTCAGGCTTGCTAAAATTCATCCTAACCCCCCTTCCAAAACCAAAACCCACCCACTGGCATCCCTCATCCCTTGTTTTACTTTTCTCTTTTGTCTTTATTACTTTCTAACCTCCAATATAATTTATTAGGACCATCATTTCTTATCCATGCCTCCCCCCAGAGCAGTGATGTTCCACATGGCAGCCACGCACAGCTATTTAAGTTTAAATTAATTAAAATGGAATAAAAGTTAAAACGCAGTTCCTCAGTCACACTAGCCACATTTCAAGGGCTCAGTAGCCACCAATGGCTTGTTGCTATTGTATTAGACTGCGTAGCTCGAGAACATTTCCATCACTGGGAAAGTTCTAGAGCATTGTTCTAGAATGTCAGCTGCCAGAGGACAAGGGACTCGGTCTCAACATGGTGCCTGGAATACAGCAAGCACTCAACAGTTGCTTGCTAACTGCATAAAGGTAGCTGCTGGCCTGCCCGCAGTGACTGAAGCCGGTCCCTGGGGCAGTGGCGTGTACCACCACGGATGGCCAGAGAGGCCGGTGGCTATTTCTGTGCCTGGTGCCACCCTGGCACGTGCGGGCACATGCGTGGGGCTGCCAGGCGCCAGGACGTGTAAGCCCCACCAGGTGCCCCAAGCTGCTGACACCTGCCCACGGACTGGCGGTGACTCAGTCGCTTGCTGGTGCTGCATTTATTTTTGGCTTCATTAGCATTTCTGCTGCAAGCAGTAGGTGAGTAGGCGCCCAGGTCTCCCCCAGCACTGGCTGCCTCCCTCCACCCCGGCTGCCCATGGCTTGAGTCTGGAGCTGAAAAACCAACAAAGTCCAAGACAGATCCAGCCGTGGCCCTGGGGGTTCCTCTCAACACACTTTCCTTAGCACACTTCTTCGTGGTTTCCCTCCCACCTGACCATTCCTCCTCTAGTTCCTTTGGCCTTGGGCAAGCTTACCCCCTCCCCAAGACCTCAGGGCGTTTTATTTTGTTTTATGTCAATGAAATAAACATCTTAGAGCCCAGTGATTGAGACAGAGACTGTTGTCAGACAGCCTGGATTCAAACGTTATCCTTGACACTCCCCAGCTGCATGACTCTGCACAAGTCACTTGACTTCCCTGTGCCTCAGTATCCCCATCTGTAAAGTTAGGATCGTACTAGAACTTGTTCCTCAAGGACATTAAAAAGATCAACCAAGATGATTCCAGTGAAGTGCTCAGACCAACCCAAGCACAAAGGCAGTCACCAATAAGCATAAGCCTTTATTGATGCAACTGCCCCTGCCCAGGGTCCACCTGCCTCCTGGGCATCTAAGAAAAGAAGATGCAGCCCCAGACACAACCCAGAGATGACAGGGTGGGTGATAAAACCCTGCATCCGCTGTTTCCATCACCACGACACTTTGCCTTCAAAAAAAGGAGCAAGTGTTATTGATTGATTGTAAAACCAATCGTGTTAATAAGAGTGTTTTGCAACTCGGAAAAAGTGTGCCTTTTAATTAGCTGCTTCTTCTTTGTTTTTTGTTTTTTTTTTTTAACGCTCACTTGACCGAAAGAATAGCTCAATATGGCAGGACCTAAAAACTAAAGGGCTGGAATTTGCAGGCTGCCCATAACGGGCAGACCTGGCCCCAGGAGAACAGGGTGATGGCTTTCTCTGGACTCCGCTGGGCATAGAGCAACCAAGGCACATGTGGATTTGGGTGCCAGTTGAGGTTTGACCACTGACTAGCTGGTAGTGACATACCTCCCTGAGCCTCAGTTTGCTGTCTACTAAATGGGGGTGATGCCCACCACTCCCACCACTTCCCAGCACCCACTTTATCTGTGGCTTGAGGCCCCCCACGTTTTGCACCACTGAATTCCAGCTACGATTCAACACTTGTCCAGGAAGGCCTCCCTGCCATGCCTCCTCCCTCCGGCCCCACCCCAGGGGGGTTGCCTGTAACCAGCTCTGTCTTCCTCAGACTGAGGCATCGCTGAAAGCAGGACCCCAGCGTCACACAACACTGTCAGCTGAGAGTGGTCATGAACATGATTTGCTGACTGTACTCGTCCCCAAAACCAGACTCCGCCCAACACCTCGTCATTGCCTCATTACTCGCTGTGCCTAAAACACATCAAACGCAGCTTCACCTCCTGGCCTTTGCCCAGGCTAGTGCCTCTGCCAGGAATACGCTTTCTGTAATGCAACTCTGCCTAATGACCTTCCGCCTTCAACATCATCCCCTGCTAGAAACCTTTCCAGGCACCCAAGAACAATCCTTCCTCCCAGCTCTGGCCTAACCCAGCCCCTGGTTCCTGAGCACAAACACAGTGACCTGGATGAGACCACGAGCTTCCAACTCACCCTCCTCTGCACTCCCATTTGCAGGGGCTCCTGGCAGGGCTGGCTCCTCTCCACTTGCTGCCTCCGCCCAGAAGCTCTCCACACCTGGGCTCCCCGCCAGGACCTCCAGCTCAAACTCCTCTGGGCCCAGGGAGGCAGGCAGCAGGGTGCTGGGGGAGTCCCACGGCACTATAGGCTCCCCCGAGGAAACTGAAATGGGCTTGTCCTTGCTGGCTGCCGTCGGTGTCCAAGGAGGAAGAGCGGGCTCCCCTGAGGGGTTGCCCTCACGGGGAGGCTCCAAGCCTCTCAGGGTGCCCTGGGTCACCATCTGGCCCTCCGGCTCTGGATGGGGTTGGGAGTTTGAGGAGGCCATTGTGGACATGGCCAGGACCCCAACCTTGTCCCCCAGGTCCAGGGACATGAGGGACATCACCACACTTGTATCCACAGCCATTTGAGGGTTCAAGGTGGGGCTTTCAGCTCCCTCAACCACGTGGGATCCAGGTTCCCAATTCCCACCGGCACCACGGGTGTCTAGTGTGGCCATGGAATTCATGGGAGCCACTGTGGCTCCTCCATCTGTAGCAGCCGAAGGCTCCGAACGCGGGGTGACCTTGAGCATCAAGGAGACCCTAGGGACCCCCAAGGGCGCAGATGGGGAATGGGGGTCTAGCCCTTCACTGTGCAGTGACCGCCACATGCCCTGTGCCTCATCCATGTTGGCCTGCAAGCTGGAAGTGGGGGTCTCTGCTGTGTTGAAGACCGCAGACTCAGACCCCAAGACGCCTCTGGCTCCCATGGGCTCAGTGGCCGTCTCAGTGGGAGTGACGGCTGCCACCACATTCCCATCCACAGAAGCCTGTGGGTTGGATCTGGGGGGCTCAGCTTTGCTGAGCCCAGTAGGGCTGGTCCCCCCAGTTTTTCCGAAGTCTGCTCTGAAGGAGTTAGGACCCGCTCCAGCTCGTGTGTCTGTAGCTGCCCGCAAAGGAGCCGTAGGACTTCCTTCTCCAGGGCTGCTGAGTGTCAGGGATGTGGCCTCTCCACCTTGTCCCATCAGGCCCGAGGAGGAGGGCAGGGAATACACTTCTGGATGGAAGGGATCCTGGGGGCTGGCCTCGATCTCTGAGGCAGGGGAGGGTGGGGCAGCGGCCATGGCTTCATTATACCCCTTTACCTCACTGGCATCGGTGGGGAGGGGCGTAGGGTGTGACAGGAGCCACAGTTTGTGGCCACGAAGCATGGCCATGACAGGGAGGTCTGGAGAAATGACTGTGGGAGAAGGCTCCCAGCGGGCAGTGCTGGGGCCCTTCAAGGGGTTGGGAGCCAAGGCAGTGGCCTCCGAGGAGGACCAGGGCAGGTCGGGGGTGGCAGGCCTCACACTGGGGCCCTTGGCTTCCTCTAGTTCCAGGCCAAGGGTGATAGGTGGGACCATGGTTGGGGGCCACAGCCAGGGCTCTGGGGGGCTCCTGCCACCAGGGGAACCTGAAACAATACCAACAGTAATTATAATTATCTCTCAGCAGCTTCTTCTGCTGATCGTCTCCTTGGCTCCAGGCCTGAGGAAGAGGGGTCTTCTGAGGCTTGGTGAGGCCAGGGGACCCAACTGTGATTCGGAGCCTCCTCCCCTGTCCCCCTTGCATCCCCAGGCAGGTCCCATCTCCCCCTTGGACCCCACTCACCAGCTCCAGGCACATCCACCTCATTGGTCAGCACAGCCCAGGGGCTTTGGCTCCGGCCACTCCCCAAGGCGTCAGTGGCTCCTGTGGCCAGGGGAGGCTCCACGTAATTCCCAGCAACCTCTGGGGTGGGGGGCTGGACGCTGGCCTGGAGCGCGCCCTTCAGCCCTCGCTGGGGTTCCTGTTGCTGGAAGTGGCGCCCGTTCAACCCTTTAAAGCGCCCCCTCCTCCTGGGCATGGGGCTGGCTGGGGTTGCCTCTGTGTGCCTGCCCACCGCAGTGCCTGCCTCCACGTTGCCGGGGGCGGGGGACACCGTGCTCAGCCACACCTCCTCAGCCTCCAGAGCAGGCCTTGAGGCTAGTGTGAGGCCCCCAGTGGCAGGACTGGGGGTCTCTCGAGACTCCTGCTTCTCTGCCAAGATCAGAGGCTCTTCTTCCCCACTGGACACCAGAGGCTCCTGGAAGTCTGGGGTGACCACCTCCTCCTCCTCCAGGCTGGGCTCCAGTTCTTGGGCGGGGGGCCCTTCTGCTGACAGAATCTCCCCCTCATCCCCAGACGACGGAGTCTCTGGGTTTCCATGTTGTGATGTAGGGTGATGAGCTGTGGGAGAAAGCAGAAGAGGCTGTGTTAGGCCCAGGGGCTGGCTGGGAAGTTCTGCCTAAAGTCTACCCACATTCCAGCATGCTACAGCAGAGATCTTCTATGCACCTCTGTCTCTCTGAGCCCCTCTGTCTCTCTGGGTTGTTTCTGGGATGCCCCCTGACTGAGAGACAGAGGCGCAAAGTTATCATCCTCACTGTTCAGGCTGGGGTCCACTGTCAAGGTCAGAATCAACTGGTCACAGTAAAGGGTCAAGAGACAGCTTGGCTGGTGGGTGAAGCTGAGCAGTGGCCAGCTCTCAGGGGGGCAGGTCAGACCTGGGCCGTGGCTCCTCCCATGGAAGAGAAAGCGCCTCATGGGCATGGCCTTCCTATGAAGAGATTCTTTTTCCCCCCCCAGCTTACACATAAGACTCAGCTCCTTGGACTTGAGGTTTGCAGCTTCTGAGGGTGTGGCCCCACCCCAAGGGTGAAGGCCATCCCTGGTCCCATCCCTGGGGGTGTGGCCTTGCTCAGGGGTCATGGCTAGTTGAGGCATCACTTCCTCCCCAGTGGGTGCTCATGGGCAAGGCTCCAGGTGAGAACTGCTCCATCCAGCGGCGTGTCTCTCAGAGATCTCAGGAGACATAGCCCACCCACTAAACAGGACTTCCCCCCAGAGCTTGGTCTTCTCTGGGGCTCGTCCTCCTCTAAGGCGGGGCTCCTACGGAAAGCTTGTCTCAGGGGTACGACCTTTCCCTGGGGGCGCGGCTCACCGCGCAGCAAGTTTTCTTGTGTCTCTCCCCTGCCTGGCCTCCACCTCTACTAGAAAGCCAAGCTCCCGGGGGCGCGGCCGGTATCAAGGTGCAGGCCCTTGGGGCGTGGCCACCCGGGGACGCACACTCAAAGGGCGTGGCCTCACGCGCACCTCGGAAGCAGTAGGCGTCGTAGCGCTCTCTCGGCGCCGGAAAGCGGGTGCGGTTGGCGAAGCTATAGACGGTGCGCACGCCCGGAACTGGGCCCCCGCAGCGCCGGCGCGGCGTCTGGATCGGATAGCGCACGCTGCCGTCGGCCAGCCAGCCCGGGTCGCACTGGTCCAGGCCCTCATGCCAGGCCAGGTGCAGCTGTCCTACCGAGGCCAGCACAGCGCCCTGGCGGCGGCACTGGGCACGCGCGCCGGCCAGTGTCAGGCGGCGGGCCAGACCTACGTAGAAGACCTCGCCTGCGGGAAGGCGCGGGAGAAGGTCAGAGGGACCCCAAGAACCCTCCCACGGAGCCCGGGAAGGGGGTCCCACCCCAAATAGCCCTGATCTGGCTAGATCTGGGTTGCAGCAGCCGCAGCTGCGTGCCCCCATCGCCAGAACATCACTGTCGTTACCTCTCATGCAGTGCTAAGAGGGGGCTTCACTTTCCTTTTCAAGTGAGGTAACTCAGGCCCCTTAACGAGTTGAGCTTCAGAGAGAGGGAGGGCCTTGATGAGGGGGGCTCAGTGAGGAGGGAAGTAGGAAGAGGGAGGGGGGGCAGGAAGGGGGAGAGACTCAGAGAAGGGGACAAGGCTTCAGAGAGGGAAGAGGCTCAGAGAGAGGGAAGGGGCACAGAGGAGAGGGGCTCAAGGAGTGGAGGAAGGCTCAGGGAACCGGTGGGCTCAGATCATGGCTGCAGGTTTAGAGAGGGATGAAACTTAGGAGAGCTAGGAAGGACTTAGGGAAGGATGGGGGTTAGGGAGGGTAATGGGGCTCAGGGAAGGGGGTGTTCTGCCAGCCCCAGACTTACCCCCCAGCTCACGGGCAAAGCAATACACATCGTAGAGTTCCCGTGGGTCTCGCCTCCCATAGTTCCTCACCCCTGGAAGGCTGCTACGGTCACCATAGCAACCAGGACGGGACTGGGTGATAGGATACCTGACAAGACAAGGTGGGGGTCCCTCTCAGATGTGTGCTCCTGGGGCCCCCAAGGACCATCTTTCTCCAGGGGCTAGCTCTCCATCTCCCTACCCTGTGTACCCCCTCACCGAACAGTGCGGTCAGAGAGCCACCCGGCATCACAGTTGTCAAAGCCATCCTCGAAGGCAGCCTGCAGGTGCCGCGGGGCTGCAATGGTGGCTGAGTTGAGACGGCAGGCGTCCTGGGCCTCAGCGAAGGTCAGCGAGTAGCGATCCTGGGCTGCTCGGTAGTGGAACACAACACCTATGGGGAAATATCCAGGATGATGTATGCTGTAATCTTCAAGAACAGACCTCGCTCTTGCAGAATGCCCCCCCCCCAGTCTGATAATAACAGACCTGCTGCCCTACACTGCCCTGTACCATGTCTGTTCACTCAGCAACAGGCATAGTGCTAGGGTGATGATGGGGGGGTGAGACAGATATGCTCCCATTTTACAGACGAGGAAATGATAGCAATGGCCATAAAGGGCTAGAATTTGTTAAATATTTGCTACGTAAAAAGCATTTATAAGCATTATCTCATTGAAATCTTACAACAACCCTATGATTATCCCCATTTCCAGAGGAGCAAACTAAGGCTCAGAAAGGTTGAGGGACAGGTCTAAGGCCACATAACCTGTATAAGGGAGAGCCAGAAGTTATATCCAGAAAGATCTGACTCCAAAGATAGCACTCTTCACGCCTAGGGTTAGGCTCTGGAGGTGACAGGAGGCATAGAGAAGAGTGAGAGAGAGATTCTGCCTTTTAGAAATTAAGTACATGCATACAGAGGGGAAGCAAAGGCAGCAATGGGTGATCAAATGTGGTGGGTTTTTAAAAAAATTGTATTTATTTATTTATGGCTGCATTGGGTCTTCGTTGCTGTACGCGGGCTTTCTCTAGCCGTGGCGAGCAGGGGCTACTCTTCGTTGCGGTGCACGGGCTTCTCATTGCAGTGGCTTCTGTCGTTGTGGAGCATGGGCTCTAGGTGCACAGGCTTCAGTAGTTGTGGCACGTGGGGTCTAGAGCACAGGCTCAGTAGTTGTAGCACACAGGCTTAGTTGCTCCGTGGCATGTGGGATCTTCCCAGACCAGGGCTCAAACCCGTGTCCCCTGCATTGGCAGGCAGATTCTTAACCACTGCGCCACCAGGGAAGCCCCCAAATGTGGTTCTTGCTCAGCTTAGAAATGGAGTCACTGAAGGCTTCCTGGAGGAGGTGACATGTAAGTCAGGACATGAAGCATCAATAAGCTCACTGTGACTCAAATTCTGATTCAGGGATGAGAGAAATGGCTGAGCAAAACAAAGGTGTTAAACATTTTGCTCCATTTTATCAAACTGAGAGCTCCCAGAAGGCAGCAGCTGTGTCTCACTCATGGCTGTGTCTCCAGCACCAGGCTGGCATGTGGTAGCTACTCAATAAATGTTTGGCTGAATGAACGAACTAACCAAACCCAGAGGTGGAATTCTCTTCTTTCACGACTTATCAGTTTTCTTTGAGGTTTATCAGTTTTGAGAACAATGCCTTGGAAAGGGGATGATTGGTTGACTCCATAAAATATGCAGTGAGACACTGTTGGCTGGGCAAAGACTGTGCCCCAGAACAGAGGGTGCAGGGACTTTGCTCATGGCCAACATAGGTTAAGGGAAATTGACTTCCCAGTAGGAGTCCACAGGATATTCTCCACACAACAATCCATTCATTGGGCTTCCCTGGCGGTGCAGTGGTTAAGAATACGCCTGCCAATGCAGGGGACACGGGTTCAAGCCCTGGTGCAGGAAGATCCCACATGCCTTGGAGCAACTAAGCCCGTGCGCCACAACTACTGAGCCTGTGCTCTGGAGCCTGCGAGCCACAACTACTGAGCCCATGGCCACAACTACTGGAGCCCATGCTCTGCAACAAGAGAGGCCACTGCAATGAGAAGCCTGCACACCGCAACTAAGAGTAAGAGTAACCCCCGCTCACTGCAACTAGAGAGAGCCCACGCGCAGCAATGAAGACCCAAAACGCAGCCAAAAAACCCCAGAAATCCTTTCATTGATTCATTCGTCAAATATCAATTGATCATCTTCTGTGTGCCATGCCCTGTCCTAGGACTTTGTTTAATAATTTTTAAAAAAATTGTTTTTTGGCCTTGTTCATCTTGATTGGTTAGGAAAACAGAAACTACACTGACTATTTCAACAGAAACAATTTAATATAGGAATTGGTTACATTGATGACTTATTTACTTAATCTATATTTTCAATCCACTTTTTAAAAAGAACTTTACTTTTTAAAAACATATATTTATTTTAAAAGGAAATTTGTATTCCTATATTAAATAGAAAGCCAATATCCTTTGCCTTATGTGAAAGTAGGTAACCATGAAATGGACTTAAAACAAGGTTATGAAATCCTATGAAATGCCGTGGTCCATAAGAGACTGAGCCAGAGGCTGCTCTCTCTTAGCTAAAAGAGAAAGAGAGAGATGTTAAAGAGAGAGGCGTACCCATGGAGACTTTGTTCCTGACTTCATCAGAAGAACTGAAAGCAAATCGCTGTTCAGGGAGTGATTTCTTTTTTTTTCTTTTCTTTTCTTTCTTTTTTTTTTGGCTTGTGGGATCTTAGCTCCTTGACCAGGGATCCAACCTGGGCCCTCGGCAGTAAAACTGCAGAGTCCTAACCAGTGGACCACCAGGGAATTCCCCAGGGAGTAATTTCTAAGGTGACATTCAGTGGATGGGCTTCCCCATCCCAGCCTTGGCCCCTCCCCTTCCCCCAACTGACCCGTCACTTCCAGGGGCACCAGGTCCTGCTCATCCTCGATGCCCCTCACCACCTGGCAGCGGTAGAGCCCGGAGTCGCTGGCCCTCAGTGGCCCCAGTAGCAACGTGGCGTTGACCCGGTGCCGGGGGTAGGCAGGTAGTGACACGCGTCCCTGCCAGCCCTTGGCCACTCGAACCACGTTGTCCTTGGCCACTAGGATGGGCAAGTCCTGCCGTTGGCCTGATGCAGTCCGCACCTTGGTCCACTTGATCCGAGGAGCTTCTCGGGCTGCACCTGGCCGTGGCCACAGGGTGAAGAGACAGGGCAGGGCCACCAGCTCTGCCAGCGCAGCCCGCACCGACCCAGACCCCACCTTCTGCATGTGGAGCCCCTTCTCGGCAGTGGCAGCAGCAGTGGCGTCCTGTGTGCCTGTGGTGGAGAAGGTGGAGAGAGGGCCTGACTGAGAAGCAAGGACCCTCTGACTGAGGCCAGAGAGGTTAGGTTGCCTACACAACATCACAATGTCGTACACAGATCTGTGACCTGCAACCCAATCTGTGAGCAGAAGAGGGGTAATGGGGTCGAATCCCTTCATAGTTCTGCCTCCTCTCAAAGTCCAGACCCTGGAGGCCAGGGATTTAACTCTCAGTGTCACTGACTCACTATGTGTCCATGGGAAAGTCACTATTCTGCTCTGAGCCATGGTTTCCCCAAAAGTTAAGTGATAGGCAGCCATTGGAAGAGAAACAGTGTTTGTGGAGTACCTTCTATATAACAGGCACTTTATAAATAGCAATCGGCTCATTTGATTTTCATAACCATCTGCAGAGGTAGCCATGTCTCATCCTCTTTTGGGGGAGTTGAGGAAATTGAGGCTCAGAGACATCATTATAATTGCGTAAGGCCACAGAGCAAATCAGGAGGCATTGCTAAAGTCTGGGCTTTTGACCGCTACTGGGGAGATGCCAGGGAGAGGCACACAGACCTTTATTTCTATTGTCCTACCCATGGCAGGCATCACTAATCAATCTTCATACTATTCTCTCTCCCTCTTTTTTTTCTCTCTCTCTTCAGCTCATCTCAGCAAAACAGTGAGAGGCGGGAAACTCTAGCCTCCGCTGGCAATGACTAAAAATAACCTCTCAGGTGTCTTGTTCGCTTTTGACTGTTCAAAGACTTTTTTCATCTATTCTCATTTTATTCTCCAGACCAAGCCAGAGAACCAGCAGGAGAAGGCTCTCAAGTTAAAAAGCTGCCCCATCTTGTCAATTCTCCAGACCCCAACCTCTCCCAACCCACAAGCCAACTCACCCTGTTCCCCAGCCACAAAGAGCAGCATCTGGAGAATCAGGAGGCCTGAGACCCAGACAGACATGGCCCCCATCCTGGACCTGAAACAAGATGGAGAGGAAGGAAGGGGTGAGTACAACCCTCCTAGACATTTGGCATGAAAGGACCAATTCCTCCCACTCTACGGATCTGGAAACTGGGGCTCAGAGAGGCCAGTGTGTCACTCAAGGTCACACAGTCAGCAAGCCAGAGCTGAGCCAGAATCCGAACCCAGGACCAACTGACTTCAGAATCCGAGCAGTGAAGTCCTATGGTCAGAGCATGGGTTCTGGAGGGAATCAAACCTGGGGTTGTCTTTTGCCTGTTCCTTGCTGGGTGACCTTGAGCAAGTAGCTTAGCTTCTCTGTGCCTCAGTTTCTTTGCAGGTCAGATGGGGATAATATGAGGTAGTTGGAAGGGATAGATGAGTCAATATAGTCAATACATATAAAATGCTTAGAACTGCCTGGCATGAAGGAGTAAATTTCAGCTGCTATTATTATTATTGACTTTAACATAGCCAAGATCAAAGTCCCATTTTTCAAGTCAGCCTCCCAAATCAAATTGGGGGCTCCTAGAGAGCAGCAGCCAGTCCTAGTCTGCCTGGGGTCCCCAGTTCTGGCAGCAGACTGGACTCCAAGCCAGCCTGTAATCTGGGTTTGCTGACTGACACGATTCTCAGCTTCAATTCCAGGATTTGGTTGTCGCCAAGATTCTATTCCTGGTTTCTGGGATTTTTGAAGAGCTGCCAAGTCCCAGCTGGAGGAAGGGACCTCGCCCTCGCCCACCCCATCCTCCCCCTGAATCCATACTGACTGGCGAAGACGCCTTCTAGGTCCACAGAGAAACTCCAGTTGCGGGTCTAGACTCCTATAGGGGTTGTGGCACATGAGCATAAAGTGGACAAATAGTGAGCACTACCTGTAAGCAAGGCCCATTCCAAACACTGGGATACAGCAGTGCCCTCCCAAACCTCACATTCTTCCAGAGACTAGAAACCCTGGGGTGGTGGTGCGTCCCACCCCTCTGGAGCCCCCTTTCCCTTCCCCCTCTGGGGGGGCTCAGAAGGTGGGGGCAGATGGGAAGTTAGAACATCACCTACAAACCCAGCCCTTGCACCCTCCTCCTGATAAAAGAAGAGCCAGTGTGGATGGAGTCCAGAATAGGGTCCTGTGGGGGACAGCTGGCCCCACCTTAGGGAGGCAGGCCAGGGACCTGTCCGTGGTGCTGAACTGTGGGGCAGCAACGCAGTGGCACTACCCACCCCCTTGGTCTCCTTCTTGCCTTCTTAGGGCAGCATCTCGGGGTCCAGAGAGGGTGAGCGGTTTTCCTGGGACTGCACAGCAGGGCAGAGGCCAGCTTCTGGGACGGTGCCCCTAACTACCGACCTGTAAACCTCAGCAACCTCTGCCTCCATCCCGGGCTGTCCTCATTTCTCCCCCTCGGAACCCTGAGCGGGGTGGGATCCCCTGATGGCTGTCCAAGGCCTGGATGGGTATTAGAGGGTGGGGCAGGACTCTGGGCTGCGCCTACCCCAAGAGAGTTTTAGGAGGGGGCAAGTTCAGAGAATTCTCATGCACGTGCACACACACACATACTCTGTACGGTTAAGAGCTCAGACTATATCCACATGACTTGGCTTCAAACCCTGCCTCTACTCCCTACATGTTGCATGATCCTAGACAGCTGCTTCATCACTCCGTGCCTCAGTTTTCCCACCTGTAAAATGGGGATCAACCAGCACATACTTCAGAGTGTTACTGTGAGAATGGAATGAGCTAAGACTTGTCAAGTCCAAGAAATGTTCACTTAAACAACAGCTTCTTATACACAAAGCCTTGTGTACACACTCAAATATGCAATGGTGGTCCGACAAGGTGACACAAAAAGGTTCAGTTGCACTCCCCCCCATGCCCTCCCGCACACACTCCATCCCCTCCAGTTGCACCTCACACACCCACACCCCTTCTCTTAAAATACCTCTTCCCCAGGGCCACAAGAGGTGAGCATTTACACAGCTGTCTGGGGCTTGTCCCCTCATTAATAATGCATGAGCCTCATACATATGCAAGTAGGGGCCTGTGGGGCTTTGTGGGAGGGGTGGCCCAGGAGGGGGGGGAGAGAGAGAGAGAGAGAGAGAGAGAGTGTGTGTGTGTGTGCGCGTGAGCGTGCGTGTGTCTCCTCCTCCCTCACATCCACCTCCTGTCTCAAGCCACTGAGTGAGGGTGAGTTTGCCAGTAGGCATTTTTGTGTGTTTGTGCCTGGGTGTGTGTCCGGGCAAGGATATCCATGAGGTTGCCCCCTGTGGTGTGTGAACATGTACGAGGTTCCACAGCAGCAATATGCACTGGGTGGGGCGTAGGGGACCCAGTGTAGTCTCTGGATGTGTGGGTTCAAGTACCCCTCAGCAAGGGCTATGAGCACACGTGTGTATGTGTTACTGGCCTGGGAGTCAGAGCGAATTTGTGTGCTCCTTGGAGAAGAAAGGAAACTGGGCTCAGTAAATCATCCCAGGTTGTCCCTTGGAGACCTGAACCCCTGTCAATGTCTCTCCCATTAGCTCCCCAACTCTGTACACAGACCACATCTCACACTCACCCACTCAGGGTCCACGCTGCCAATCACATGGAGAGGACCCTTGCTGCACACACGGGACACGTACACAGCCACACACTCTAGGCTCAGAGCCTAGGAGACACACACACTCACAGATTCACAGTGACATTAACAAAGAGAGACAATATGGGCACTTACAAGCCAGGCAGCACGTCTTCTGCACAAAGACACACACCCACAGTCTCAGGCTCCCCACATAAACCCCTCGATGAGGCCACTCTGTCAGACACAGTTCCTCACACACACTCACTCACGTAGCTGCCAGCCCCTGGCACAGACCAGGCTGGATAAATTGTGGCTTTGGTGACTGGTGGGCACACATCATTTTGCCTGGTGAAGTGGCCCCCAGCACAAGTTTCCTGACAAAGACACAACCTTGGTCACATTAGAGTCACAGAGGACCCCGGGTCCCCCCATAAGCACATGCCTTCTCCCAGTATGGGGTAGACACACACACACACACACACACACACACACACACACACACACACATACACACACACACACACACACACACAAGTCCCTACCTCCTGGGGGACGCCTTCTGTTTGGAAATGTCCACAAGCCAACGAGGCTGCTGGGGTCTGGGGTCCCATGGTCTGCCTAGCCCTCACTCCCGGCCCTTGCCCCACATCCCCCGCTGGGGCCCAGCGCCAACCCTCTCCTCAGCCTGGCTGTCTCCCATTAATGCTGCTGAGAGGAACAAAGGGGAACAGGGATGGGGATTGCTCCTGCCCAGGCTGGGCCTGGGGTCCCAGCCCCCTCCTTGCCAGCGCCTGTGCCCCCAGGCCAAGCCAGGACTTCCACATGCATCCATGTGGCCAGATGGAACGGAAGGCGTGAGGCAAGGATCTGTGTCTAGCTGTGAGAACGTGGCCAGATGTGGAAGTACTGGGGTGGCTCCCCCCTAGAGACTGGGCGCTCTTTACGGGCCCGTGGGATCCATAACTGGGGGCTTTAAGAGGCTCTCAACTAGCATTAACCTCGGAGACACAACGTGCTCCCTGGGAGAAGGGACAGCACCCCAACTCCAAGTCCCAGGGAACAACAGGGACCACCTTGGGATGGAGCCCCCAGAGCCTCCTCCCTGAGTCAAGATGTGGTGACAAGACTTGAGCCAAAAAGACAGGGAGACTGCAGGGCACCCCTTCCCTGTTGGGGTTTACTCTCAGGGCAGACCCCGTCCATTGGGCTCAGGCTGGTCTGGGGGCCTCCTCCCCGCTGCAGTCCAGCCTGGAATCCTGCATTCATCTGCAAATTGGGAATCCCCACTTAAAATCTTGGGGTGTCTCAGCGCAGACACGGGGTGCCCTGTTCCAGAGTCCCCCACACAACGTGTGGATGTCCCCCTTTTCTCTCTAAACTCGGGGTGCCCCTTCCCTAGCCTTGGTTCCCAGTGCCTCCCCAATTCTAAGACCCACCCCCAGCCCGGCCCCTTCCCCATCGCGGGGTCGTCTCCGAATTCCCCAGACAACCTTGCCCCCAAATCCGAATCCCCTTAACATTCCCAAGCCCTCTCCCAGTGTGGGTTCCCTCCCCAACCCGGGGCTTCCCTCCCCCTCTAAACCCCCTCCCCATTCTGGGGGCTTCTCTCTGATCCCCCCTCCCCAATCTCGGACTCTGTTTCTATTTTCAAGGACCTCTCCCTCAACGCGGCCCCCTCCCCACGACGGACCCCCACCTGGCTCCTAGCTCGGACGCATCCCGGGGCGGTCAACAGGCACAAAGGACGCGGTGGCTGCGCTCAATCCGCGCCGGGTCCACCCTTGAGCCCTGTGCTCCGCTCGCCCCAGCGCCGCCTCAGCGCTTATAAAGGGGCTGCGGGGCTGCTCTGCGCATGCGTTCCCGTCAGCCCGACGCCTCCAACTGCGCGAGGGAGGGTGTTCCCTCTGCCTAAAACCCCCTCCCTCTTCCTACGACCACTCACCCCACCCCGGGGAAGACTGTTCCTGACTTCCTCCCATTCACTTCGCCCCAGGTGCCACGTTAAGGGTCCCCAGACGCCCCGCAGTGGGGCCTGCTCCATCTTACAGATGGGGAAACTGAGACCCCAGGGAGATGAAGTCTCTCCCAAGGTCACGCAGAGGGGAAGGACTGAGCTGGGATTCCAACCCTGGTCTGCCTGACTCGGCAGGTTCACACTGGAAGCAGTTTTGGCTACAGTTACTGTTTTACACCATGTATAGAGAGGAAGCTGAGGCTCAGAGAGGACAGAAAGCTCCCTGGTTCACACAGCTGGTAAGAGACTTGCAGAGTCAGAGCCCAGGTGTGTCACACCCAGAGCTGTTTCTGCCCGCGCCACCTAGAACTATCATTCATTAATTCATTCATTCCCTTATCTAGTCAACTTCTATGGAGCACCTGCTGTGGACCGGGTACTGTTGTTACAGAAATACTTTTGCTTTGAGCAGGCAGCATGTGCGTGTCTTTGCAGGGAGACCCCTGATCTTAAAAGGTCTGCAATAGAATATTA